AGCTGACAAACAAAAATATGAGCAATGCAATTTTCCTAAGCTCACAGGCAGAACAGTTCCACTTTCTGGGTTCTGATTTTTTGATTTTGTTCAGTTCAAACAGCCTCAATTCATTCTCCCTCACTGCTCTTCCCAAGTGGATTATCACTTCCTGCAAAAACAATCTGCACAATGGATGAGTAGGTCACACATTTTGCCATATTGATCTAAAACTGTATATGTCTTAGATCTTACACTGCAGAATTGAAGCCTTTAATTAACTTATCTAATGCTGGGGTAGAAAATGATTCGGATGAAGTTTAAAGAAAAAACATCTTATTATCACTTTAGGTTTTTATGAACATATTGAGCGTTACACTGTTATGTGTGATTCTAAAATATATGAACAATTAGCAATAGTAGTAAACATGTAAAAATAAACTGAATACATCTTTGCATTTTGTGCCCTCTCAAAGTAAGGCTCGTCTTGCAACTGAACACTTTCAAATTTGGTATTCACTTGTAAAAAACGGAGTGACAATGCCAAAAATGCTGAAACTTACATTGCAACATACCGTGCAACTTCGAAACAGCAGTCCACAAACCAACGAGCGACGTCACAGGTCCACCTCGTCCACAACGACCATTCACATTCCCCCCCAAAACAAGCACAGCCCTTGAAATCAGAAAATAATAATGTCACAGTATTCATTATCCATCAACATGCTTCATTATTCTCAGCTGATATGAGCCACTGCATAACTTTAAAGCCACGCGGGTGACGCCTCCAGATTGTGGTAGCAGATGATAAAGGGGTTTGAAGGCCAAGTGGCAGAAAAAAATAGAAAATATTCTAATAAAGTAGTTATTTCCTGCGAACCACTTGACTTTTTAATAGACAAACTTGTATCATAAAAAAAACCTCCTGCTCCAAAAATCCCTTTTGGCTTAGCGGGCAGGCCGGTTACATCATTAATGCTTCCATTAATTTCATGGACACATCATCATTTTATTTTCACCACCTCAACTTTGGAATAAGATATGTGAGAACAGGTGCAGGTGCTAGAGTAATAGGTGGCGTGACAATGCACTGACCTTTCTATAGTCATCAATAATTCATGTTGTATTGTGTAAAAATCTCATTTATTTTTCATTTTTGTTGGCACTTAGCAGAGTGGGCCGGTTGTCACTGCTAGACGGAGCCAAGAAGGAGTCAGGGGACCAGCGGAGACAGTGATGAAGGGAAGCTCCTGTACATTTGGTGTTTTAAGTGCTAACACTCTCAAGCTCATATATTACAACAGAGTATGTGTGTGTGTGGTGAGGCTTCCTCCTTGAGTTGTTTATTAATTGCATCTCACTAAAGCTTCACGCGGTCTCATTTGTCACCTTGAATAAATATAGAAGTGCAGTGTTCTCAGAGGCTCCTGTGTTAATATGAGCCTTTCTGCACTGTCACATGGTATTATACAGTCATATATCATCTGTTATACGTCCACATAGTAGAGGAAGAGCTCTCTATCTTTGACTCACCAGCACCTGGGATCAAATATTACTTATAAATTATTTTAGAAAAGCCGTTTACTAAAGAAACCATAATCATATCATACATAATATATAAGGGATCTCTCTGTTTGCAACATACATTTCCGGCGTGGTGCAAAAAACAACTTTGGTATGATATGTATATTTTTTTTAAATCAAAGGTCGTGGCCGCTTAAAGCAACAAGTAGGCTAAAGTTTCAAAAGGATGTTGTCGCCCAGCAACCGGATGTGGAGAAAGCGGCACGTTCCACAAAGAGGATGCGTTCCAGTTGGACCAAACCAACACCTCCAATGTTCTGTGTTCATGACAGAGAGGGTTTAAAAAGAGGTTTAGGCTTGGCTGTTGAGGAAAGGTTTGTGTAAATATTGAAGTATAACTCAGCACAAAGGAAACAGAGGCAAATGAATGACCATGAAATGTGCATGTTCATGTTTGCTGAAAAGGCAAAAATAGATGAAAGCTACTTCTTTCCTCAGATTAATTGATGAAGCTGGATATAGATCCCCAATGTTTTTTGTTTGTTTGATGTTTGACTGAAGCCCCTTTTAAATGATCTCAATAGTCAAATATACATATATAACGGTAAGTAGTTGGGTCTCCCATTTGTTTAACATTTCAGTCAGAAATCTGGATTATGGATATTTAAAATGGCTTCAATCTTTTAATGGATTTCAACAGCACAGACTTCTGATTGAACCATTACACAAACCCCCCAGAAAATATATATTACAAAGTAGCATTATTACACAGTGTTACAGTACTGCTGGAACATCACACATACGCTGGTAACAGATCCTCCCCTTCCCTTCCCTCTTCTGCAGTGCTCAGTGTGTGTGTGTGTGTGTGTGTGTGTGTGTGTGTGTGTGTGTGTGCATGCGCACTTCAGTGGTTGGACGTAGCGATGATGCCCTCCCTTGGCTCTTTGATTGTAGATGAGCGAAACCCTTATGGGTGGGGATGGGCAAATGAGTGGTCCCCCCCACCCACCTGTTCCCTCTCCCGTCTCATCAGTTACAAACAGTGAAGTCATACCTTCCAAGGGACCTGCTTTCCTTTTTTTTGGTGCTATCCGCCATGATGTCACCAGCAGCCAATCAACACATGGCACCGCTTGAGGAAGCGTGTGCGTGTGTGTGTGTGTGTGTGTGGTGGCTGGGGGTGTTTTCACCACTGGGAAAAGCACAGTTATTATCTGTTCTGCCAGCGTGTTCCAGAGCACACATGCACATCAAAATCACGAAATCCATGGGTTGGTTCTGATCCATGCTGCCTCTTAGTGATGTAATGCTCTCTGCGTTACATAAGAGCGCTGTATGCTGCATGCTATTGATAGGCCTGCGGTGGTAATGATGTATTCAGAGACAGACACACGGCGCATTGCATTTCATTTCACAAGGTGATTAGCAGCTCCACGTTACACACGGGATACACAGCTCAACTCCTGTTAGAATTTCCCTTTGAATACGCCCCCTCTTTTGCATTAGCTTGGAAAATTGGGCCTAATCATAAGATAAACATCCTCGGTTTTGTGAACAACCCAGAAATTTGGTCAAAATACATTTTGACCTCCCCTCAAGGTCACTGTAGATGGCTTTTGTGCTTCTCGGCTGCAGCCGTAATACGGTTAAAACCTTCAAGTCGAGACTGATAATTTGAGTTTGCGCTTCATGGCCAGCCTTGAACGGATATTCAGACATTACAGCGGGGTAATTTGTGTGGTCTGTTCCACAGCGAGCACATTCTGCTAATTGCCAAACGGGAGGAGCATCAAGTGCCTGATGGACTGCAGCTCAGCACAATGTTATTCTCTCAGCGCTTGTGCTCCCAGCGAGCTGCTTCTCCTCACCTTTCTCTTAACTGTTACACACGCAGCACCTCCGCGGTAAGATGTGAGATAGCCGCAAGCATTACGTCCCATCCTGCTGTCAGGGAATCCCGTAGTCATCGTTCGCCAACTGTTAAATAAATCCTCACTGTTTTACCCATGCAATAGTTCTGTGTTATTACAAGTTATATTTTTTTCATGAAGCAGTATAATGACAAGTCAGACTATAATAATAACGGTAGACTAGCAACAATTAGTTTTTGTCAATGGAGTCTGGGGTTTTTGAAAGGAGAATAGCTAAGAACTCAGAAAGGGCTGTAAAGTAAAACTATTCCTAATGAAGTATGTTTGCATCAACTGGGGATAAGTTCCCCTTACCAGCCCAAAAATATCCAAACTATCCCTTAAAATATACTGTAGGTGCAGTTCTTAATCTATCACCATAGGCGTCCTCATTTTTATCATTATAATATTTTCGTTTACCATTCGTCTGCCAAATGCACTTGAGTATTTTAGCTGCTCTCAGAAAATATGTTTTTGCTCACATCTCCGCATGCTTGGCTACAGAATATAGCGCCCTGCCGCGCACGATGCCCACTGTATGCTCTCAGTAACGAGAGACGTCGCAGGCAGCGGAGCAATATCTGTCTGCGGGAGGAAGTGGCTGCCTCGCTCGGCCTCCTCATCGGTCTCGAGTGGCGTGTACGTCTCATTAGCATCCCACATCGACTAGTAAACCGCTCCCGCGCTCATAAAGCCAGGCTACATAGTAATGACTTTTTTTGATGCCCTTCGAGCAGCTGACACATGTTTTCACTGGGTTGGTCCAATCACTGAGCTAACGGAGGGAATTCTTCATGTGAAAGTGTTATTGAACATCAGTTGCATTATTGTCCCATGCATGTTTTCGTTCTGTCAGTCGGAATTAGATAAAAAAAAGACTGTCGAGATGAATCACATTCATGTGTCACACACACTTTCACTCACTTCTCTGGGTGAAACCCTTTTTCTTTCCAGCTTTCCGAAGAACCTGCAGTTCTGTCTAATCTGAACCATCTCTAATGTACACAGTTCTGTGAAACCAGGGGAATCGCCTTACCCCCCCCCCACCCCCCCTGTGTGCTGCGCAGGGTAGATGTTGAGGTGGAAGTAGCCTAGCAGCTAGCTTAGGCTAGCAGCGGACAAAGTGGTCCTTTTCCCACTCATCCCTCTTCTGTTCGACATGGAAGAATTCCTCTCCACAGGCCACTGACTTGTCAAAACGGCCAATGCTTTGAGCAGGCAACGCGCCGTGTATTGAGTGGGCCGGTCTGACAGTAACTCACGGGCCACTTTTTACCCCCAGTCAGCCCCCGGGGGTGGCGATCGTGGCGATCATCTCATCAAATTCTCTGCCAGAAATCAAATGGGAATATTATTTTTTCACATTTTATACTCTTCCTTAAAACAAAGCTCTTATTTGCAGACGGTTGCTGTTTTTATTGTGTGAATTATAGTAGAAAGCTGGTGTGTGTCACATGGTTACATATCCCTGAACCCTTAAAAATGACCGGTCTTAACCCTAACCCTAATCCCCCTTTTACATGTGCTTTGTGATTTAAAGATTCAAATAGAATTTGAATGACTCGTCTGACCTGTGTTAACCCCTAGGTGCCCACGGAGTGCGAGAGGAGCCACAGTTTGTGACGGCCCGTGCGGGAGAGAACGTCATCCTGGGATGCGACGTGTCCCACCCCCTGAACGGCCAGCCCTACGTGGTGGAGTGGTTCAAGTATGGAATGCCCATCCCCTTCTTCATCAACTTTCGCTTCTACCCTCCTCACGTGGACCCGGAGTACGCCGGTGAGATGGTGGATGCAGTCACATTCACACTACACACTACCAGGCTGAACTCACAATTGTTACGATTTCCCCTGAACAAAGTTTCTCAAAAATTATTTCACTGAATGTTGCCTGATTGCAAACTTTATTTCAAGCTGCAATGGCTAATAATAAACAGTTTTATGAATCTGTTAATCACATACCGTAGAATGCCGGTTATAAACCAATACATTTTTCTTTTCTTTTTCTCACCCCGGCGGCTAAAATAAGGGAGTGACTAATTTTGGGATTTATTTCCGCCATCGCTGATCCCCAGAAATAAACATGTTCAACACACGACGTAACGCGTACAAAGCAGCTTTTAAACTAAAGGCTATCGACGTGGCCATTGAAAGCTGCTTGGGATCAACAAGTTCACGGGAAGACGTTGGAGACTGCAGCAGGGAGAATTTGCCTCACAAAGCGTTCAGAGAGAAGCCCCTGGCCCGAACTAGGGAACAAACTACAGGACTGGGTCAACACACAGAGAGCCTTGGTGTTTTGATGCATCACAGATGGACATCGGTCAGTTACACCCGTCTTTTTCAACCAGTGTCCTGCGAGAGGCTGTCAGGTGTGCTGTGAAAAAAAAATCATTTTTTACATACTGTCACTTCATTGGTGAAAAAAAAAAAACTTGTGTGCCAACTTGTGTGTTTGTGTGTGTGTGTCGTCGCGCTGTGCTGTTGGTGGTATGAAGGCTCAATACTCCCCTCTGCCTGTGGGTGGCGGTACGCAGCGTAATTAATAGGCAGATTTGCTGAGGCGACAATTTAAAAAAGTGAGATTTAAGGCTGGCGCATGATTCTGCGTCTGCGTCATTGCGTCGCGGTGCAGCGGTGTGTTTTACAGCTCCAGGAAAGGTTTTGCTAGAGTCGTTGCATTCCATCTAGAGATAATTTACATCCAAATGTGTGGATGGAAACATGGTGTTGTAGGAACAGCGTGGGTTTGTTAAGCAATAGCTAAGTGAGTAGAGACGGTGGGCCCACTCAGAGCAGACGCGTGTGAAGGAGTCAGTTAGTAAATATACAGTAAAGGTTGCGGTTCGTCGATGAATATATGTTGCTGCTCCTAAAAACCTGAGCTATGCCATTTAACTCCTTTGAGCCCTGTTTTTTATTATATGGCGTCATCATACAAAGGCTTTTTAAATATTTAGACAGTTTTGAGGAAAAATCGATAATGTGGTTATGATGGCTACGTGGGTTTTCAGCTCAATGAGTTGTGTTTTGTGATGAAAATGTCATGATATTTGCTCAGATCGTACATATATTGAGAATCCAAAAAACACATATATTAGATGATGTCTGTTTAGGTAAAAAGGGTTCAAATACATCAATGTATCACCTTCTTGACGACAGTGCTGCCTTTTATATGTGGTACCAAACCAGTATCCTAACTAATGCAGACAGCTTTAATGAGAGGACATGTCCTTTAAGGCGGCCTTTCACTATTAATATGATGTGCTCAAGATGAAGTTTGCTGAAGAGGTGAGAGGGCTTTTCCCCTCGCCCTCGTTTGATTTTTCCCCTTTCTAGATTTTTTATTATGTATTTATTCTAGGCCTGTAAAAATGAACGCATTAATCTATGTGATTATTGTGGCTGAGCCGCAAATGCGCTAAAATAACCCAACTTTGTTTACTTCCGGTGTGTTAGATCATAGAGACGGTAGTTGAAGATGGAGAAAGCTTTTTTGCATTGCAAGTAAAGTGACAGCTGTGACAGGCTAAACATAGTATGCTAATGATACTTACATTGCAACACATTTGTCAGCATCAGAGCTCAACATATGTGTATGCGTGTTGGCCATTTGGAACCAGATCCAGGATTTACGTGTGAATGGCAACTGCGCTCATCTGAAGACTGGAAACACATTTAAAGTCTCAGGGAGACAGATGTGCTGTGAAATGAAATATTTGAGCCGTGTACATTTAAGAGACAATCCAAATCAAATCTTTCACATTTGATTGGACTGCTATAAAAGCGGCCTGGGTAAGAGTTTTGGGGGATACGCACTGGTCCATCGCTGGTTAGATCAGGAGGATGACATTGTCAAACAAACTAAAATATGTATATATTGTTTCTATCACAATCTTTAAAAACCAGCAGCCAAAAGTTACAGCAATGTTTACGTCAGTTGCACGCAGCTTTATGTTCTGATCCTTGCATGGGGGCTCTGGAGAGGACACAACATCCCGAAACATTCCCAAACTCAGATTGAAAACAATACAAGATGTCGCAAGGCAGGTCTGACCTATGACTTTACAACAGCGCTTTCTAGAAAAATACGAATGCAATAGTTCATTGGCATGTAATGGCTGCCCTCAGTGAGAAACACAGCTGGTTAAATATTAAGTTTACACTTGAATCATATCTCAGCCTCGTTAGTTTGGGAATATTTTCACGTATACGCTCCTCACTTTCTGTTTTCTGTTTTACAGAAGCAAAATTATGGATTTTTTAAGTAGAGAAAAAAATCTCTGACTCTGATACCTTACAAACAGATTTATTGATATGCATTTGTCAGATAACAAGAGATGAATGAGTATTAAAAATGTTTAGATTTGTTTTCATTGCAGGCAATGTGAGGCACACATTATTTTGTGAAGTCAATTGCTGAAAGCTTCTAAATATCAGAATTGTCGAACACTATCGAGACTCTATACATTGAACTAGTTTTTAGGGACGATACGAACGATCTATGCTTAGCATTGTTCTGAAATTATTCCCGCAGTCCTTTGAGCCACATGGCGATTCATGTTGTATTTTCAAACAACCAAAGTCAAATATGCGACGTTCTGAAGTCACAGGTCACTGCCAAAAGCTGCTTGGATAAATAGAGGCTCACATTGTGCCCTGTTTAGATCGGGAGGATGTGTGGGGTTAATGACCGGAGCCAGCCACAAGGACACAGCTTCCTAGACACCCAACTGCCCTTCTTTCTCAAACAAGCCTTTGTCCCTTTTTAATATAGAGAGGAAAAGGAGGAAGCATCTATGACAAAGTCTTAAACATTTCCATGAGAACCAGTAGAAGAGCTGGACATTGGTTGATAGTCACACAGGAAGAAAGTAACAGAAATTGAAGAATGAAAAAATAAGAAACAGCAGGAAGTGGTCCCGGATTACATTGTTGAATGCACCCACACACCCCTGTGAAAGACCTTCAAGCTGATCCTGAATGGTCAGCTGAAAACTGTCGATTGTTGCATCTCTGTAGAACTGATCTTATAAAACAAACAGAAACACATTTTTCTTTAAGGTCTAAACTGACTGTATGTAGGACAGTCAAATATGGTGTGTGACGGCACCACTGCAGTGCTAGCAAGCCAAACCACAGCGTCAGGAGACCTCATGTGAGGTTTTTGAAAATGTGGACCCAAAGGCAAGTCCTCTGATGTGATCACAGTTAACGTCAGTCACGAGGAATGGGAATTTGTGACAGGCTGCAATGTGCTGGCTGAGGGGGCCAATAGAAGAGACCCGAGTAGGTCCGGACTAACTGAATCGAAGACAAGGGTAGGAACAGCTGGTGTGCAATTACTCCCATGATCTAAGGTCCAGCTCACTGCTGCTTTCTTTCCCCATAGGGATACGGTAATCTTGTAACGCATTACAATGTGCATATGTCAGTCTCTGTACTGCTACAGAATTGTAGATTTTTGGGGCATTTCAGTAATTATTATGTCTGACAAAGAAAATATTATTATTATTGCGAAAATATGAATGCCCGAAGCAAACAAATGCTTGTATGGAAAGTCTTGCCATAGTCTGAGAGCTTCTCAAACATCCTCGGAGGAAGTGGTGCACAGAATTCCAAAAGTTTAGGAAATAAACGTACATTTTAGGGCTCCGTTGTCACCGTGTTAAAAGAGACCTGAGACCACACACAGACAGCTTTCTGTTGAGCTTGTGCAGCCGAGGGCTGCGTCTCACCCATTCTCTGCACCAAGGCTGCAACAGTTTTATATCTTCTCAACAAAGCATATCAGCGCTTCACTCCGTGTGTTGCAGCCCCTTACATTACAATCACCACAGACGTACACACACTGGAACACTGCTTTCTCTTTAGTCTTCCTTAAGACGCAAATAAACTAAATGACATGCTCTCAATTGTAACAGTTACTCATTAGCCGTGCTTGGATATGATAATGCTTGTTGAACAGGTGGTAGATTATTGTTTTCTTAATTTAAAAGGTTTTATCTCATTTAAGAGCTTGGTTGGTTTGCTTTGCTTTGAGCATCCCCGCTCTCTGATCTGTTGCTCTCTGTCTGTGTAACTTCACTCAAAGCAAAATGTGTAGTCAGACCTTTTTTACCTGACACAGACTATAGGTCAGCTGCAACATCACATGTGTCAATAAACTTGATTGAGGTGTGAGATCTCTTGAGACTTGAGTCCTCACAAAAAAAGTTGACCGATGACTTTCAAAAGTCCAATTGATTCATTGTGCTTGTGTAGTCTTTAACCCTGTGAACCCCAACTAGCTCAGGGGCGCTTTCATGCTCCTGCTGTGGGCCTGAATTGCTCTGTAATATAAAAGTCCCACACATCTATGGAAACAGAACAATCATGGCTAGGACTAGAGATGCATTTTGTGCAGAGTTATAGTTAGAATGAATGAATGAATTAGTATTGATTGAAGTATTTACATATTTATAACCTCTCCAGTCCTCTTCCTGATGATCTGTGTTCAGCTGCCTACAGTTCACTCAAAGATTTACAGAATTTTCTTCACATGACTGTTGATAGGTGAATATGATATCCAAAAAGAATACAAATGGATGTTGCACGAAGTGAGTAATTACTGCTGTGGGGTTTTGCTTTGCTTAATTCATCATCAGTGGCATTCATGAAGTTTGCACCGACCTGAGTTCTTGTATGTAATAATGACATAATTGCTGTTGAAAGCAGTTATTTTAGAATGAATTGAAAACAAAGGGAACGTGGGATGCTCTTTTTAAATGCGGGCAACCT